CCCCGCACGCGCTGTGCACCTGAAATATGACGATTACAACTGTAAGGACTGCGGCGCACGCACAGGCCGTGATACACTCCACTCCAGCGCCAGGGAATTGTAATATGGAAATAAAGAACACTTGTTGCGACCCTTCTCATCTGCCTGAGTGGCGGGGCCCGGCCCCCACGGCCCCGGCTAACGGGAGAGAGGCCTGAAGCAGTGTTGATTTGCACACGCCGTAATGTTCGCCTTTAGATTTCTTTGTGAAGGAGGCAAGGATCATTCTTCAGAAATACGTTGTGACGGTTCGGGTGTGACTTCCCACATGAGTTGACAGAAGCGGTGCCCGCCCGCCGTCTCGGGGATAGGCCAGCCAGACAGCAGCGGGGTCCGACGGGGTGCCTATCCCCCCAGCGGCGGGCGCGCTACTCAGCCAGCTTATTTCCGTATTTTTGTTCGCTGAGCGGGAGTGTTTTGACAGAGTTGGGTCGGTAGGCGGGCGGACAGGCGGGCGCGGCCACACCCCGGCTGTGTGTGGTCACCCCCTCCACCTCCCCCGCGCTCTTGTCCTGTCCAGCCACTATAAAGCTAATGCCCTCATGAAAGCACACGGACTTATTAATAAACCCTCTCACGCCCCCTTCTCTCCCTCCCTCCACACTCTCACATTCTACTACATACTTTTGGCTTTATTTTTCCTGAAAGTACGAATGGCCTACCGCAATAACACCCCCTCCACTCCACACCCGCACAACTTTTCACATGGCGATTCATTTGCAAAGACTTACAATATGCTAGACGTTGCCGCTTAGGCGCGCGCAGCACAGTGTTGCACGGCACCCGACTGCTCGGCGCTCTCGAGAGCGCTCTCGATCTGCCCTCGTTTGGGTGGAATTGTCGGCCTTACGGCCCGGACAGGACCCGGAGGACAGCACATGGCACTCCGGGGCTCTTGAGAGATACGGGCATCATCGGCAGTATGCGCCCGCCGTCCGGGGCCGGGCCCGGGCAGCAGCCTAGGCTCGGCTCGGCTGTTAAATCCGAGCCATAAACCATGGGAATCAGCGAGATGGTGGCCTGATGGCAGCCTGACAGGGCGCCGGCGCTCGTGGCCCCTCCTGTATGCAGGGCGGTCTAACAGTCCAGAGCCAGGAGTCTCTCTCTCTCCCCCCCCCCCCCCCTCTCTCTCTCGTACCATACGCCACGCACCATATAACCCAGCAGCAAAAAAAAAAAAAAAAACACAATAATTTCAGTGATTACTTTTAACTTTATTTATCTTGGTAGAGCGGCAGAGGTTCGACCTCTTAACCTGAGCCCGGCGTCATTACCCATACCGACTCGACTCGCCTGGTCCTCCCTCGCTCGAGCCTAATTAAGAAGTATTGGTCGGCGGCTAATCTCTTTGCACAAGCGCTCGGGGGGGCTCGTCTTGTCACAAATACCAATACGACTTTTCGTAATTTGCTCGGCCGGCGGGGTCGGCCAGCCCGGGCGGGTCGGATCTCACTCTGTCAGCCGCTGAGCAGCCCCGGCGCCCAGGTTCGTAAATTATACGGCCCTCCGGTGCTCGCCTCTCAGCAGCGTCCCGGTGCGTCTTTACCTGCCTTTTCCATCAATTTATTACGGAATGAGATTAGAAAAAGGCTAGCCTTAATCATGACTTCCTTTGAGGGTAAAAGGTCTTATTCATTTGGGATGATTACTGGAGAGAGGAGGAGGACCGCTGGCCGTGAGGGCGGGCGAGGCATTCCGTCGCCGCTCGCTCAGGGTGGGTACCTCCGCCGGTGCCGCCTGCCGGTGCCGCCTGCCGGTGCAGCCGTGCGGTGCGGCGGGTACCCCAGTCCCGCAGCGCAGTCGGAAATCTCCACCGTCGTCGTCGCAAAACACGAAAACGCGCGCGCGCGACCCCTGTTTTACCCCAACAAAGTTTTATTTGGCACGCGAGGGCCCTCCTTTCCTTAATCCCGTTTCATAACTCGCTGTGTCGGATCCCATTAACGTAAGAGCATTACAAGTGAACGCTAGTGTGTGCGTATGAGGGCGTGCAAGTGATGGGGAGCCCAGGGGCGTACACTGCCGGCAGCAGTGGCTTCCCCATTGTGCAGCCCCATGCCTTGCTCTAGGGTCCACTCGTCCAAAACTCCATTCGTCCACGGGGGAAAAAAAAGATAAGCTATATAGCTATGCAATTTAGATGAATAAGGAATGAGTAATTGTTTAGCTCTCTAGCAAAATATGTGTCCCGGTGAGAAATGAATTTTCTTGAACGGCGATTCGATGTCGATTCGACGTCGAAATAGTTGAATAAACGTCATTTTGTCCCCCAAATCCACATCTTATTTTCGATATTTCGACGTCGATTCCATGTTGAATTCACGTTTCTGTTTCTCACTCTGGGTGCAGCTAAAAATGTACCTAAAAGTAGCTAAACTTAGCTAAATTTTTAGCTACATAGCTTATAAGCTAACTATAGTTATGTTTATGATTTTAGTTATCATTCCTCACTCAGCTATTGGTTTAAGTACACACCATTTTTATACCGTGCCGTTTTCTCTGAAAATTCTCGCGCACGTGGCTATACCGAGTATAGCAGTCCCGGCAACGCCCTTGTAAACACGACCATCGGACACGCGTTCTTGACTCGTAGGGATAAAATAAACGCCCGGAGGCCCCGCCCTGCCCCGCTCCTCCAACCCGTGCCCACCGCCCCCCAGGGGGGCTCCCCCCGGTTCTGTTTGGGGGGCGGGCGAAGCGCGGGCCCATAAATCAGCCATTGCTCTCTGCTAATGACAGCACTCTGCGATATTCAATTTGATATATTTACACATATTTGGCCGATTTGGCTTTCATCCACAGCCTCGTGAGACATGGGCCCGGCTAGTACACTTCGACTGCGCTCGGAAAGAGAAAATCTGTGGGGCCTCCCGCTCCGCTCTCCCGCCGCCGCCCGCCATCATTTTTCAAACAAGAATCACCAAGTTTGTCAACTTTTCTTATCGCGACAAAAACTCCTGCGGTGATGGCTGCGCGGGACGACGGTGGCAACTTTTGCACCTTAAAAAAAGGGACTGTATAGCAACGTGTTTCCTAAATTGACACTTTGTTATTGTTGTATTTTTTTTTCTCCCTCGTTCTCTGTCTCTCCCTCTCTCTCTCTCTCTCTGGGTCAAGGCCAGTCCGAATGCTTTGCTGTCACGTTGTGGAATTCCTCGCCGACCCATTCTCTTGATCCTCGCCGTGTGAGTACTTCTCCATAACAACCTAGAAACTTTTCACCTCCGCACCACCGTTAGTGCTCTGGAGCGGCGGCCGCCTAGACGCAGTGTCTGTCTGGCGGTATGATAAAATCCAGTGGCAGCAGCAGCAGGCCCCTGGACAAGCGGCAGCCACATAGCCACAATCGCCTGACGCTGCCGCGGCAGCCCCTTCGAGTAGCCGCAGCCCCCTGGCGCAGCGGAAGGCCCCTGGAGCAGCAGCAGCGGCAGCAGCACAGCAGCGCCAGCGCGAGCAAGAGTTTTTGTTCCGCTTGTCTCTATTTTGCCCCTTTTCTAACGAAGGCTTGGCGCGCTGCGCGGCGCTACGCCGAGTGCGGCGCAATGTGTACAGTGTGGCGCTGTGAATAGGACCATTCAAAGACGCACTGACCCAGTTACAATCAATCTCAAATCCCCGCCGCCGCGGAGAGGAGCGGGAAAAGGCGCCACG